CATAGGTTAGTTTAAAATGTGTAAAATATTTTTGTTTCTATATTTAATTATTTATCAGGAAAAGGTAGATCAAGCTGGGCGTTACGTTTTGTATGTTACATTTAAGGTTTGTTTGCTTGACAATTAGGTACAATTTGAAAATTAACACAAAATACATAACTGCTATAATACTTCTCTATAAATATTCTCTTGATTCGAATATCGATGGGACAATTTTGTGACAGACATTAAGTTAGTGTTTTGCACACAAGGAAGCCCGGGTGGAGGGAATTGCCTTCCCTCCGACTCCCGTCCCGACTAACTGTTTGTAGACCCAACCACCCACGTAGAAAGAGCCCTCTCTCTGCCCACTTCATCAAAATCCGAACATTATTGAGCTTGAATACGGTGCAAACTGCGCCTGCTGGAGAGCCAGTGCCCGGAGCCATCTCACATACGTCCATCCATCGTCGAAGACGACAGCTGCAAGAGATTGCCCGGCCCAGTGGAGAGATAGGAGGAGAAGGATGGGAGTCCAAGGCCATGCCAAGACGCTCCACGATGGATTAGGAAGCTTCCGTTCCCCGCAAGGAAGCGCAGGGATGCGAGCGTCATCGTCATCCAGTGGGGAAGCGCATCGCGTTGTTTACTCGGGTCCGACGTTATCCTTTTTTGGCAGTGGCCGCTTTGTTTTGTTATTTTTCATGTCAGTCAAAGAATTGGCAACGAACATGGCCGATGAAATATGCTACACATACATACATATATCGGTGCCGAGCGACTAGGGACAAACTTGGTCTTGGTGGACATTGCATCAATATTGAAACGTCAACATCAAACTCGCCAGCGGCCAAATGGCGCTCACATAGACAAAGGACGAAGCAGCTGGATGCTGGATGCTGGATGCTAGATGCTTCTCCGACCCCAAAAAAAAAAAGAAAAACTGATGAAGAGTTCAAATTTTTCATTGTATGATTTGACGAATGAGCTGTCATCTCGAATTGGAAACTTGCCATCTCCGCTGGACAACTCAGCACAGCACATAGTCTTTCTTAAGAGAAAATGTTGATGGCAAAAAGTTTTCGACTATTTCGTTTGACGCTTCGTTAGGAGGAGAAATGAAAAGGCAGATGGAATTTGGGTTGAGTGGGATGATTTTTTTCAAGAAAACCTCACTTTGATAAGGCTCTTTTTGTGTATTTAAATATCATGGATACTATTGCTTCAGATCTATTAGTATAGATGAAGATATTCGTATGGGCATGTCTTGTTATTCTAGACTCACACATCTGAAGATTGGTTTTTAGTATTACATCATTTTCAAGGTACAACTTAAATATCACTATACACCCTAGTTAATCTCTGTACTAACTTCTTTGTTGGGAAATTCCCAAATTATGAGATGAAGAAATTCAGAACTATGACTCAAGAAAGTCACAAGAAAAATCTTGTACAAAAGGGATGCCCCTTCTGTGTAATGTGCTCTCCGACTATTGACGGCTGGGGAAACATTTTATTGATCCCTGGAAATTCATCAAGATTCCTTCGGGCCGGCAGACGCTTCGTGTCACTCTCACGTTCTGTCCTTGGAGCTCAGCAGCTGACCCCTTTTGCGCCCTCTGATGGCTCCGTAAATGATGCAATAATTTTTAAAACTTCAGACGGACAGCAGCACCACCGAGCTGAGGAGAATCAAGAAAAATTTGCCTTAGGGAGTTTTGTTCGTGGGCAGGAAAGGATTTTCGACGCTGGCATACGTTTTGTTTGAAAAATCCAGAGAACATTACAAGGAGCTTCTGGGCATGCCTTGGAGCCGTGATGTATGATGGGTCACGGAGAGGAGGTGGAGGTGGAGGCGGTGGACAGTTTCTAGCCGTCAGCTGCCCCGCCAGTCCGTTGTGTCATGTCCTTGGGTGATGGCGGGAGGGATAGGGCTTTCCTTCTCGTCATCTTTCACAGTCCTTACTGACCGGCGGCCCCCGTCTCGGAGCTCTGTTAATGGCTCCGGTCCATTATCTCGTCATGTTTGTTACGAAATTTAATTACTCTTATTTATTTTTCACTGCCCGTCTTCCTCCGCGACTACGTCGCGCCCTGTTCTGGTTTATGATTTTCAGCTTCGTCAAAAAATGCCAAGGAAAAAATTAAATGTGAAAAAAATTCAATTAAAAACACTTTTTGCATAAAGCGTTCCCGCGGCTTGGCTCGCCCTCATCTCATCTCCGGTCGGTGGTGTCAGATTTATTTTGCCTAATGTTTCCCCACTTGACCATAGAAGCAACCCCTCAACAACAAGTTTATTCATATATTCCTCTTCATATTTGTAGCTGGGAAGAGCGTTTAACAAATGATTGTCAAGTATAAATCCAATTTGGTTTTCTGTAATATTTAGAGACTTAATCCTACTGATTCGGGGGAATATTTAAATGGAGAGCAAGTGCACAGATTACTTACGTTCCCATTTCTTAAGTCATTGAGCAATCCTTTTTGAAATTAAATGCCCCACAGTGGTGCTGAGCAAGGAAAGTTTTCCATTGACCAGCAATGCACTCCTTTTCTAGTCTTCTCCAGCAGCCTCGTGCATGTCCATCATTTGCCTTTGTCTTTTGGCTTTGTTTGCACACGCCATTCTTGCACAAAATCCTTGCAACCTCTAAAACCTGCCACGCCCTCAATACGAACGCCCACTCCGCCCACCGGCATCCCTGCAGCTGTCAGTCAATGTGTCGTGTCACAGTGTCTCTCCATCTGTCTGTCACTTGCATGTCTGTATGTCTATTCTACGTGACACCAGGCGAGCGAATTTCCAGTCCTTCCCCACTATGCCTGCTCTAGCCTGCTTTCTTGCCAGCGTGCTTTCCTGCTTTCCTGCTTTCTTGCTTTCCTGCGCACTTTCTTCCCAGCTTGCTCAAGTTTTACTTAGCAGCAGAAAAGAACGAGGAGCGGAGGCGGAGGGAGTCCTGTGAAGGATGCTCTGCAACCGATGGATGGATTTTTGGATTCGCAACTTGCACTTGGATTACAAGTCTGATTTTGATGCGTACATGTTTGTCCCGTCCTCGGAACGGAGGAAGGGGAAGTACACATTGCACTTGCCAAAGCACTGCGAGAAAATTGTGTTAATTATTAAGGAAGATACTAACCTGCTTACATAACAATTCATTTAATATTTGAAATAATACAGTAGAACTATTATGAATTGTTCTGACTAAGTCTGATTACTATAAGATAATATTTACATTATGTAGGGTCAAAGGTCACTTGAAGTCTGATTGCCAATTAATTTCGAATTCAATTAAAAACGGCGACCTTGAAAATATATATATCTGAAATTAGGGTTAAATTTCAGTATTATTTTAATTAAGTTTTCAAAGCTTTCTTTTCCGTGGCACTGGCCCCAGACCCTGCCCCTGCTGTGGGTCAACCTCACACACATATGAAAGGGGCTGGGAAAGTGGAAAGTGTGGGGACGCTCGAGTTTCCTTATGCCTTTGTCTGTATGTCCTTTTATTATTTTATTCCCTGGCCTTATTTTAATTCACAGCGTCTGCTTGCCGCGTCATCCTCCTGGCATTCTTCTGGACCGACTTTGTCTTCGTGGCAGTCACCTCCTTCGTCTCGGCAACATTGTCTCAGCTCGAGCAGCTCGCATCCTTGCCAAGGATGTTCAGCCGCAGACACACACACACACAGAGAGAGGCTCATGTGAAAGTGGAAGTGCATGTGCAGGACTTGGATCTGTATGTGGGAAGCTGGAAGGCAGTGGCTCTTGTTGTTGGGTTGTAAGTGACATTTGCAATTTTCAAAACTATTGAATGAGTGACAAGTTCTGCAGACACGATTGAAACTGACAGTTAACTCGAGACTCGGCAAGGAGTGACTTGCACTGAATGTGGAAATATACATACATTCTGTGACATCTTCAAGAGTCCCAATAAGACCCACAAGCGATCACTGAAATATTCAACACTTTCGAGTTCCTTAATGTGGATAATTCGGAGTAATTTTCTTCTGTTACACAATGAACTTATATATAAAGCTAACAATAACTCATAAAAGGTCACAGTTATTCCCCCATTAAATCGAACATTTTTATTCGCTTAAATGTCATACTTAATAAGGAGTGCATTCGGCGGCAAACGGATGCCAATGCAGATGAGGAGGACGAGGTGCTCCCAACGCATCGGTGGCTCACTGGCCATTAACAATTTCATTTATTTTGTCGCATCGAATAAGTGTGCAGGGCTCGGTCTGTCGGGGACAGTCGAGGCAGTCTGTCTGTCAATGTCAACATCAATGTCACAGCGTCCTGGCCCAGACATTTTGACAAATAATTCAAACCGCATTTTATAATGAATTTCCCCTGGAAACCGGAGCGGGATGGGTCGTCAGAGGGGAGTACCAACCGATGGGCGTGACTGCAGTGAGGATGCACCTGATTAGCCCCTTACCCCTGGGGAAGATTTGTGGGATATTCCTCAGGGGAAGTATTGCAAAAGCTGATTATCACATTTATTAGCGTTGCTTTATTTTTGGATACGGCGCCTTAAGTGCCAGAAGGCGATGAGTTGGCGTCACTCAGGCACACATCAGGTCGCCCATAAAGAGATTGTTTTATTGACCAGATCCAGATGCAGATGCAGATGCAGGAAGGTGTGTTGTGGGTCCGGCTCTGGGCGACTCTTGGATGCTTTGCGGTCATAAATTAACACACACCAGGAGGATCTTTATGGTTTCCCCAGAGGGTCCTAGTACCTACCTAGTAATAGGTTGCATATGAATATTATTTGCGTAAATTCCTATATAGCAACAAGCAAGTAAAGCTGACTCCCCGTTTTAATCAGCACTGAGTCATGCTTCAGTCGACTTGTTTTAAAACCTGTATTTACATAATATCGACCCCAAAAAATCGATATTCGAGACAAAAGAAATATTGTTATTACCTCTGACAGCTGCCATCATATTCGATCGTATCGTCAATGTCAATTATCATTAAATAAAACCAAAAATAACCCTTTAAATTTATACTTTGCAAATACTCCTCACTGGCGATTATTTTCTTGTTTATTTTGAAGAGGAAGCAAATCAGACTTTTTAGGGGTCCAAGAAGGAAATGGGCGTTTGCTCCACCTCCTCATCATTCAGACAGGGCCAAATTAGCTCGCCAACGGGGAAAACAATAGACTTGAACTGATTGTAGATGTGTAGGGTTTCGAAATGATATCCATTGTGAATGGCCACGTAGTTTTGTGGCGATGCCAGCTGCTTGGAAATCGGCAAAAGAGGCACATTAAAGCAGTTCATGAAAAAGTGTGAACAATCGAGAGCCACCGCAATCTCGTAGCACCCATCCAGGCTTTCGTTCCAAACGGAGACGGCGCTGAAGGTCAGGGTCTGCCTGTGGCATATATCAATGGCCTCCTGGTTGTTGCGAAATGTGTAGAAGGTTGTGACCCCAGTGGGATATTTGCCCAGCACATCGTGGGTGCACTCGCAGACAAAAACCGGGTAAGAATGAAATGGTTTCGCTTCGGTGTCCTCCGCTTTGATTAGCTCCAAATTCAAGGCCTCGGCCTTCCTCAGGGACTCCAGGAAACTGGGATGCTCGGTCACCAACTCGCTGAGCGGTTGTAGGTTTGTAAGGATGCGTCGGACGACCTCTTCGCGAATTTTCTCCTCAACCAGTACCATGGCCACCGCATTTGGCCTAAAGGGATTGTGAGCGGATTCGATAAGGAAATGAAGGGCGCTGTTGATGTCTCCTTCCTCGTAAATAATAATCAGTTGGGGTTCCGAAGAGGAAGGCCTTTGAGAATCTGGAGCAGTTGGACCGAGGGACTTGAGGCTTCCCGATGGAACATCTGGGACATCTTCTTCCAAGGCATTGCCCTGCAGATTATAAACCATATCGTGCCTAACTAGATAGTCAGTTTCAGTGGCCTCGCTCTCCTCTGACTGGTCTGGGATCTCGGAGTCAATTGATCGTGGAAAATATTTGGTATTATCATACATGACTATCACGGGGTAATTTCTACTGCAAGTATACTAATTTTCAAGCTCTAACGATTTGATATGAGTAGTAAGGGAAAGGAGAAGCGATCCTTTATTTTGCTATCTTTTGAAACACACATTTGAATATTATTTTTGCGAACACAAACGAAACGAATAATACTCTAAATGCCCGGCAGCCTCGCGCATTAATAAGCGATACCTAATTATTTGGGCGTATCTAAAGCCATTTAATTTAAATTATTTAACACAACTAATCACACCCCACGGGCTTAGAGAGTCCTTTCAACAATGTGGGGGCTGCGGGAAAACAGAATTTAGTTAACCAAAACCCACAACGCTTTCTATTTGTTAATCGCCAAATTTATGATCAAATGTGACAGTAAAATTAAAATATCACAAACAGATACAAAACGAGCAAAGTGCTTGGGCGGCGGCGAGCGAACAGAAACTGGCGAAACGAATTTGGATTTGTTGGAATTAGAATTAAAATATTATAAATATTTTGCCAAAATATTACGACTTTTTTCCCCGGCATTTACAATTGCTCTCGTTATTCTTTTTTCCCCCCTGCACAACAGCAACAAAGGGCATGCGATTATGAAACAACAAAACAGAACTAACAGCGACAATTAAAAACATAGGAAACCACAGAATTATTTTTTGTTTGGCGGGAGGGTGAGCCACCACAGAAATTGAATAGTAAATTTCCACAACTAGTTGAGGGACATGCATGTGGACATCAAGTGCAGCGACAACAGGGGAAACACACATATAACTAACGATAATGCTGCTAACGATGACCATTTGCATATATCAGTACTAATTATAATAAAATGCCGAAAATAAAATTAAAATTAATATAGAAAGCCGATTATAAAACCCGGTTTTTACAAACAAACACACACACATACACATATTCCGTGTTGTTACAACGACTGTCAAAAATAGCAAATCCCATAAATCAACAATGACCATTTTCCCACAGAAAAAATTGTAATGAAAATGCAAATAAAAAAGGACACCAACGGTCCTGATTCTGTATAAACAACCGAAGACAAATAAATTTAAATTTGTTTTCTATGTAAATATAGCTTTCGGACAGAACAAATCACATCCTATTTACGAAACTATTGTCTGGTCGATTATTACCTGAAGCATTAACAACTATTTTGTTAGCTGGGATTATCCTGTCAAACTCTAAACTAAATTGAACTCAAAAATGGGTTTCACCATAGTCAAGAAAGCATCCTTGGTATATGGGGTAAGCATTGTGTATCAATTCCTATCTATTATAAACCTGCAAATTCTTTCAGATTGTCTTGGCATTAGTTCTCCGAATTATAATACCCTTTAGTGTGGGATCAAAGGCCTTGAACGAATGCGACAAATGTACTGCAGCTGTAGTTACTTATTACTCATCCGTCAGTAGGATATTGTTTATCCTTACCACTCTGCTTATATTCAGTATTAGCTTAGCTAATCGCACTGCTGATTGGATTTCTTTAGCGGTGCGTAAGTTAAATTAAAAATATATTCAACCAATTGTTACTTTTAATTAGTATATACCTCTGCTGATATATGTGATTCGCTGGACGTCTCTCACTTTATTTAAGCAATTGAAAAACGTAGCAGATAGTTACGATGAATTCATGAATGAGTTAAAACATCAGTGGTGGGACTTTTTTAACAACAACAATACATATTGGCCTAATCTGGAAAAGAAGGTAATTATCTCTATAATCTTGCTAAGTTGTAAACTCATCCTTAAATTTACGTAGCTCACATGTTGCGGATTGGAAGGACCTCGTAGCTATATGGAGTATCTACACAAAGTTCCTGAACACTGCTATAATCCCAAACTGATTACTCTGGGCTGTTGGCAATTGATGCACGATATATTTGAACCGATGCCTAGAATTGGATATTATTTTCGCATTATTACACTAGCTATGGAGCTATGCGTATTAATTTTTTATGGATTTATTGTGCTCAAGAAGCTGATCAGTTTGTTGGTTGCTAGGTGGCGTAACAAAAGAGGGTTTTCTAAGCCATCGTTAAATAAATCCAATTGAAAGGGCTTTATGCATTCGTATATTTATATAAAATAAATCGCTTTATGGTGGAATTAAAAGCTATGTTTTTATCTATTCCACCTATGTATGCACATATATGTAACTGGCTGATGACAAACTTCAATGGGTCCCATGAAATAAATTGAAATTAGCTGCCTTTTGTTGCTGTTGACAATTTGAATAAAATTAATATACATTTTCTCACAATTTTAATTAATAAATGTCAAATATTTTGCATATGGGCATTTATTTGTACGTTTATTTGTCTGATTTATAAATTACAGTATTTTGTTTTTTTTTTTTTCTGTTTTTGCCTCCTGTGTCTGCTGTGGCATTTCATGGAAAATTGATTTTGTTGTTGTAGCTGCGACGATAACAAATTTCCCTGGCGCCATAACATAACATAAAAATCGCGAGCTCTGGGTGAGTGAGGTGAAAGAATGGCGGAAACATACTTTGGACTCGCATAGCGGAAACGGAAGTCAATATTAGTAGGCAAAAATGAATATTCACAATCTCGAAACAATTCACATTAAGCAAAACGCGCGAATTTTTGACAATTGCGCAAAATTATTAATGGTCAGATTCTGTCGCGTTTTGCTACCCCGAATTGCCGTTGTTGTTGTTGTTTTTTTTTAGCTGCAATTTTATTTATATAGATGATATCAGGAAATCAATTTTGGCGAAATTTATGACCAAAAAGTCATGCTTTGCCGCTGTGCTCTAAGGTAGATAAATGAAAATTGCTTTCGATTAAACTAGCAATTGGTTTAGGCTTAGCGAAAATATGTTTATTGGGGTGGTTTGAAGACTTTTCAATATAAAATGTTGCAATTGGATGAAATTTGTTTGTTATTTACTTATCTAAACAATAAGTAAAGGTATTTTCAAAATGCAAATCAGGTTTAAATAGTTCAACTTGTTATCGAAAAATACATGAAGAGTATGTATTATACATTGCTTCACTATTGTCTACTAAAGTCGAATATGAAATACTATGAGATTCTCATGACGTTTTGGTTGAAATAACAATAACTTCACTTTTTCCAGTTGAGCTCAAATTTATGAAAAACTCAAATTAAACATGGCGATAGGCAAAGGAAAATGTTGCTGGGAACATGTTGCACGCCACCCAGGTTGCTAGAAACATTTGCTAAAAACATTTTCTCAAGTTGAATGGCTTTTTTAACCCACGCTGGAAATATATTGATTTTTAATCCCTAAATAAAGTCATATTAAACTCCTCTTAGCACTCTCGCAATCGGCTTGCTGGATCCAAAGTCAGAGTCAGTCATTAAACATGTGAACGATACAGCGAAACTTTAACGACTGTGGGTGAGTGTGACGTGCGGTGGCTATGAAATCGCTTTGATTGATTGCCTTTCCCGAATTGACGGCGATAGGAGGACCGCACGCTTGTTAACTCTGTCAGTGTTAAATTTAAAAATATACACACATCGTGTGCGATAAGTAGGAGCCGGAGTGCCGGGCACCAGCCATAAATACTCGGCCCCAACCAAGGAGGAATTTCTTATGACCTGTTCGAAATTCCCCACCGCGGATATGGGGACGGGACGGGTGCTTGCAAAATATTTTGTGGCTGGCAAGTGTCAAACATTGGCCATCGCCCAGACAGACAGCCATCAGAGCGGGACTTATCATTCGCTCATAAAAATGTCAAACTATCACGCTGACATTGACTGATGACGACGACGGCCACAGCTCCGAAGGCGGCATTCCACTTGGGTTCCCGCTCCCTGTGTTCCCAGTGCCCAGGATGCCAATGTTAAATGCCTCGGCTCCTCCACTTGTCACATATCCAGCATTGCCATCATTCAGCACGCATCCTCATGTTGAGTGATTCCATTTCATGCTGCTTTTTTACGGGTGGTGATGGGAATGGAGGCACTGCATTCAGTCATCCATCTATCCGTCAACCGAGTGAGTCAGAGCTGCTCTTGGAGCCATCAGCATAACCTTTCGCCAGACTCCTCTGCTCGACATGATTCATGGCTTCGATTGAATTTTGATTGACAATATCGCAAGCATTTAACGTGTCTGTTTCCGCTTTCCGTGTCCTTTGAATATTTTTTGCTTGCTCCTCCTCCCAGAAAGTGGAAAGTGACTTTGAGTGCGAATGGCAAAGGCTCATTCGAAGTGATTTTTAAAGTCATTTGTCATTTGACAGATGAGCGTTTGATTGACTTCGATGGCTATGAATCCATTTCAGAGACGGAGAGGATGACTTCTCTTGAGAAATTTTATCGGCCTCCTCAAAGTTCCGATAAAAGAGGTATCCAATTCTGGATTAAAATATTAAGATTATTCTTCGAGTGTTTATATAATAGAAAATAAATTATCTCTTAACAATCAAATTCTTTGGCCAACATTCATCTAATTTGTAATAATGAGCTATTATAACTCATAGCTGGTAATCGTGAATTGTTTCATCCATTATGTTGACAATGAGAAAAAATAAAAGCAGTCCATGTAAATTTATAACCATTTATATGTATGTCACACACACCGTTCTCGATATCGATTACAAACCCCATTAGGAGCACCCACTCTTTCGGCTTCACCGTGCACATTAATTAGCGATAAGATCGCCTTCAGTCCTCCGGCTGTGAAAATATCAATTTCATTTTGACATTGATTGAATTAATTTATGAGCTGTACCTTCGTAGCAATCCGTACCAATCTGCTTATTTATGGCCGCCTCCAATTCAAACCAAATCAGAGCGATTTGAGTGATTACCAATGTGACCAATTCGAGATTTATGCTCCGAGTCGGAATAAATGCTGTTGTCCCAACAGTAAATCTAATCTTTTTTATGTCTGATAAGGATGTTTCAAGCTGGATAGTTATATCACTGGAATATCTGGTGAAATCAAAGAAACCTGAATCAAGAGCGAACTTAACTAAATTAAGTAAGTTAGGGGCTATTTATTATCTTAATATTTCCATGTTCCACTTCGGCATGACGAATGAAAGAATTAAATAACAAGATTGTACATTCTTTCAGTTTCTAAATGGGTCATTGATAAATCCAATTCTATTAAATAAAATCGGACAGCTATATATAGTAATCAAAGTATTTGAAATTCGTAATAAACACATTTTTCATTTACATGTTTACATTTTCATACCCTTGCAGGGTATTATAATTTCAGTCAGAAGTTTGCAACGCAGTGAAGGAGGCACCTCCGACTATATAAAGTATATATATTCTTGATCAGGATCAACAGCCGAGTCGATCAAGCCATGTCCGTCTGTCCGTCTGTCCGTCTGTCCTTCTGTCCGTCTGTCCGTTTCTATGCAAACTAGTCTCTCAGTTTTGAAGCTATCTGAATGAAACTTTGTAGTTAGCCTTCTATATACTCTCACTCGTATATATGTCGGAACGGGCCGGATCGGACAACTATATCATATAGCTGCCATAGGAATAATCGGAAAATTTTTACAAAAAAAATTTTAACTTTTTCAGTTTTCAATAGAATTGGATCAAATTTGAGATATAGCCATTTTACTATACTCTACAATTTTGCATAAAATTTTATGAAAATCGGACTACTATATCATATAGCTCCCATAGGAACGATCGAGAAATTAATAAAATTAAAAATTATAGCTTTTTCGGTTTTCAACAGATTTTCATTAAATTTGAGGTATAGCCATTTTATATTAGTCATAAATTTTGTGTCAAATTTCATGAAAATCGGACGACTATATCATATAGGTGCCATACAAACAATCGTTTGATGTAGAGGAAAAATGCAAATTTGTGAATGTAACACAATATTATTATTTATTTCCAAATGTAACACCAGAATTCTAAAGTTCGGAGAGAAAAATTACGGCTTAAAGTAATTTGGCAGCACAAAAAGAATCAAGAAAAGGTCTTGTCAACATTTTTTTTATTTGGGTGCTGGGCAACATGTTTCAAGCAACCTTTTCCTTCATTCATCAACATTTTTTTCTGCCTTCCGCCTTGTTTAGTTTTCGTTTTCAATAATTAGTGATAATGAATTAGCTATGCTCACATTGCTTTTAATTTACTACATAGTTCATTTGATAACCAAGTAAATCACACTCTGTTTTGCTACACATAACTACTTGTACTATGCATTTCATTTTCTTAAGAATAATCAGAAGATATTAAAGCTTATCAACTAAACATCAAATCGTATCAAAGTATTAAATATAAATACGTTGAGTTATATTTTAACTTTTCAAAAAATGAGAAGCTAAAAGAATTCAATGATAAAATGAAAACTGCCATTGGAAGTGGTTTCGCATTTTCGACACCAACATTTTCATGTAGCTATATATGTATATATAGCGGCAGGGTGGGTGGGTGATGGGGTCATCTGGAGGTGGACATACATATTTCAATTTACTCATTGCACCGCTGACAGCGGAGAAGGTTTTGAACCTGTCCCAACCTGAGGCCTGACAACAATCGCCGGCAATCAGCGGGAAATTCATTCATTTTAGGACACTTTGCAATAATTGAAAGCGACAAATGGTTTTTAATTATTTTTTAAAACTTATAACTGTGACGATGGTTCCCACTCCTGTCCGACCAGAAGCCTCTCACACACACAAGCGAATAAATTGCAAATTATTACGATTTTTTCGTTGTGGCATTCACATATTTTTTAATTTTAATTCAATTGCACTGACTCTCCAAATAAACTGACATTTTGACGCAAATTATCTCCTGTGAGCCCATGGGCTATTGCTGATTGTCTTTGAGCTTATTTGTTTGATTAATGAAAAGAATTTTCGCACTGCGTGTCACACCTCCACTTGTTGTTTTTATTAGTGAGAACATATTAAAGTTTTACTTTGATGGGTGTAAGTTTGAGTCGATTGAGAGGGAAACTAAATTGTATCCTACCTTCAAATAAAATATAAAAGTCTAAACCAGTATCCATTATGTTATTTATCCAAAAAGTAAATAGTGATTTTATTGAATTACAATTTATCCATTGTTACAACCCACAGTTCAGGTGCAAAAGCACAGGGCTTTGATTTGAGGTTGGCTGACACAGTGGGACTGCTTTTGATATCTGTTGACACGACTGATGGGACTGGTCAAGACTAAAGTCTCCGACACACGGACAGTGGTCTCGAACTCCCCGTTTCCAGGAAGCGTCTTCACCCGCAGCCTAAACTCGTGGGAGAAGGACTCCTCGCCCAACTCCATGAAGTAGGCCAGAACCACTGATTGGAGCTTTAGTTTGGCACATTGGGGATGGGATTTCGTCTTCTGGTTGATGGATTCCACCAAGAAGCGACTGCATCGGAGGACCAATCCATCGTCAGTGGGTATTTCGGTGTGCTTGCGGCAGAAGCAAAAGAGTGGAGGGATGTGGGCCAGCTCGCAGGTTCTGTGTTCTGGAATTGGCAGGAAAAGACTTATTCCTCGAGGCAGGCTCTCCGGGGAGTGCGACTGAAGGATCTTGGCCCGCTTTTCTAACTGGGAGCCCTGCAGATTGTCCAAGCGAACGACATCCTTCAGGGTTTGGTGAAGGTCATACGGGGTGATCAGGCTGTGCGAGTTGCTCTCGAAATTCCCCATGGCCTGGGGGTATTTGTCCTTCAGCCAATCGGGGTATATGGCCAGCAGGAAGGGCTGTGACTCCTCCGCCATGCCCTGAAAGCTCGAACGATAGTCACCAGCGCGAAGTCCGTGATCGGACATGAGAAAGACAATGGTATTGTTCAGTACATCAGCCTCTTGCAGGCTCTTCAAGAGCATCATATAGGGCTGATCCAACTGCTCTGCGAATTCGTAGTACTCTTGAACGCCCTGCGATTGCCAGAAGAAGGAGAAGAAAGGACGCTGCTGCATGTGGGGCACCAGTTTGGCTATGAAGTCCCTTAGGATCCCTTGGAACTGACGTTCAGCCGTGCAGTAAACCATCTCCCTGAGATCGAGACTATAGCGGGAGTGACTGTGCATCTCGAGCAGCACAGGAGGCAGGTAAAAGTCGGTCGGATTGCTGGGAAACTGTTCCTTTCCATTCCCGCTTGGGAAGACGCCCTCGGCACTGTCTTCACCGAAGGCGGTGGTGTATCCTCCGGCCTTGAATATCTCCCATAGCCAGGCTTCCGTCGAGTCCGCTTCATCGGTGCTAAATCCACTCAAGAACGGCACTAAATTGGCACGGGTATCTAGACCCACTCGACTGTAGCCAAAGAACTTGGTGTGCATACTCTCGAGGAAGCCATTCAAATGGGGGAAGTTGCGCACAAAGTGCATGTGGGAAATTGAGTCAATACCCAGAACCATCACGGATAATTTCTTGATTCCATTTGGCTTCGACTTCAGACCTTCCAACGGAGGTGGCACAAAGAAGTGAACATCGTGATATTTAGTGAAATTTAAATTGTCCTTGCATTTAACCCGAACTATCTGACGACCGATGCCGATCTGAATATCTGAATTCTCTCCGCGCTTCAGGCTAAAGTGTCCTTCCAGAAGGCCTTTGCTTGATGTAAAGTCCCAGGCAGCCAGCACCCAGTATTTGCAATGCAAGTTCTCCGACATCTCTTTGGGCACCAGGAAATTGGCGTTGTCTTTGGTCATTGCAGACATCAGCTGAGGTTCTGGGCATCGCAAAAGGTTGATGGGTTCCAGTGCCTGAGAATATCTGGCTGGACTTCGCCGGCCTCTTAGGAAACATCCAGAATTGTTGATAAATATAATGTCTTCGGATCTCACGATGACGGGCTCTTCAAACATATCCATTATGGGCTCCAGACTGAAGTACATCATGAAGAACAGGCCGGTGAGAAACATCAGTAGTCGCATATAGGACGACATCTTGAGATAATTGTATAATTTCGGCTTGTGACTTTGCTTAGAAGTAAGTTTTCCAAATGCCAAAATATTTCTTCAAAGTCAAGAAAGTCACAGCCTACTACTACTACAACGGTCTGAAATTAGTTCTACCCATTGCACTATGGTCCAACGGACCACTTTTTTAGGCCAAAATTAATAACTACGGTAATTTAAAAGATATCGACTTGAAAATTTCCCAGTCGTAATTTAGTACTTATAGGATGATACTGGATACAAATTTTCCGGATCAGAAAACTATATCCTATAGCTGTCACAGGAACGATAAAAAAAATTTTGAGATAAATTCATAAAACATTGGTTGCATGAAAACAATGTAATTTTAACTAAATTCACGAAATTTTATCAAAATCGGTTAACGAATTACTATAGTTTTCATTTAAAGAATCATAAAAAAAAATATTCATACAAAATTTGGTGATCTTTTAAGGCAAATTCCAAAAAATGTGGTCAAAAGTGGCATTTCTCACTATATGCAAATGAACAAGTATGCAATACCCTACAAATCCTAATAGGTCTCAAGGTGGGACTAGGTGGGACTCACTTTGTACTACTTTTTAAAAACAAGTTTTTAATAAAAAGTTAAATATTTTTGAAGACAAAATTTAACATCAAATAACAAATATACCAGATTAGCTTCGAACATTTCCCATTACAAAAAAAGTAGTTCAAACGTTACTTATTCAATTTAAAAAAAAAAATAAATTTGGTTCAGTTCGATATGTTTTTTTCGAGTTTTCGTAATTTTAAAATTGCTATTTTTACTCATTTTCACTCTACCCGTTGGCCTGCGTACAAACAGCTGCCTTTAAAAGCGTCGTCGGCTAGAGTGGCGCCACCTATGAACATATTGGGTATGTCACGTTGATGGTCACTCTATTTCTAATCCATCGAGACCAAAATCATTTTATTTTGACCACTTTCAAAAAATGGGTTTTGGCCAAGAAAAGTGGTCCGCTGGACCATAGTGCATTGTATCAAAAAAAAGATACAAATATTTCCTAATTTCAAACCACACTCACACCCACTTATAGAAATTAATTAAAAGGGGAAAATAGAATAAAAATAAATAAAGAATAAATATATCGAATATGCTGGCGATTGCTGATCCCACATTTTGATAATGGCAGTGCCAAAATAAAAACAGGAATTAAAATAAAGCCACTAATAAATAAGGAAGCAACAAAACACAATTCCAAAATACTTTTCCATTGTTCTAAATAAATAATGAGCACAACTGTACTGCCAAACTCGGCTTAGTGATGTAAATGTGTGTGCGTGTGTCCATTTAAATTATAAAATCTAATCACCTTTGTTTAAAATTTAATGAACGCAATAATTTTAGAGGATTTCCATCCACATTTAGGGGCGGAATGGGAACTGGCGAGCGGGCGAAAAGTAAAAAGTGACCAGCAGACAGCATAAAAATAAAACATTTTCAAAAAACAAATAAAACCGATTCGTATTTATCGACGGCTGAACAAAACAAGAGATTATGGAAAAGCATAACAAAGGATTTTTTATTTTTTTTATTATTGCATGCAAATAAGCAGTTTACACACACACCCGCCGCCAAATATTTGAAATGGTCTGTATAAAAATCTAGCAATTTATTTAACAAATTATCCATTTTAGCGCTGCTCGCTTTGTTTTGTCAAATGAGGTTAATTTGTGTTTAACCTCACGTGTGCAGGCCAGGCCTCAAGTGTGGGTAAACGCAGTTTGTTGGCTCTGCGAATGGTTTCCAGTGTGGGCCAACGTAGTAAGATGTGTCAACACGGCGCTCTTTTACAAATTGCTACCATCAACCATGGAAACCCCAATGAAGGGTTCGAACAGTGACTTGTTTTTTACAGATTAAGTAGTGCTACTATGAAAATATCCTGATTACACAATAATTTGGTGCTTAACAGTCCGATATACAGCACGTTGTTATATTTTACATTTAGGTAAATTAGAGACTAGGAAATCGACTCAGAAACCGGCACAAACAAAGCTGAGCAGTTGACTTATTTAGTGCTCTGGCCTAAAAAGGTTTTCCACTTGGATTATTATTTCATTTATTTTTTTAGTATTTGAGTAAACTCTTTTATTGTATGTGTTTATTGTTCATTGTATAATAGTGTTGCAAGCCAAATGTTCTTAGCCGTAAGCTAATCTGATCGTAATTCTTTGACAGGGAGGTAGTAAAAACCGACCCTGAGACCGAAAGGATCATAAAATTGTAGAGTTTCAGCTTCTAAACTAGTTAATCTTTATCACAGATAGGCAGGACATGGCTAATTCGAACCGCTTAGTGATACTGAACAAAGGAGATGCCTTCTTGTGATTATTTCACACACGCACGGTTGACCTGAAGTTATAATAACCTAGTAAGTAAAGTACATAAAGCTTTTTGACACAGAAAAATTCCATTATCATTTTTATGTTAGAAATAAGGAGTCACAGCTTAATAAGAACTGATACCTGTTCTTAATAGGGGAGAGACTTTAGTTCTATGATATACTGGCACACTTCATAGCTCGATGGGGATGCCAAGGACACAAATTCCGTGGCATATATTATATATTTCATGCATATCCATAGGCCCTCACTTCGCTCTTCCAAATGCATCCAATGCAATATACATAATTGCAGAGGCGACATGCCAAAAGGCACCCCAGAGAGTGTATTTGGGGATGTCGGTTTGGTGCATGGTGATGGTGCGCTGACGTTGTCATCAAAATAAAAATTAATTATGCATTCTATGCGCTGCATTTGAATTGCTTTTGTTGTTTGTTACTGTCATTCCCATTTTGAGTGCGATTGTTGTGGCATTGTTGTAATTGCCGCCGTTGTATCTGGCATCCATTGGCATTGTTTTTGTGCGGGATTAATGTGGCATTAAAGCGCCGCGCACACTTTTTAGCATTTGGATCTGATAACTGCGGGGCAAATAAATTACAAATATAATAATTAAGCAGCATTATTTTTGACAAAATAAATGCACACACACATCCCACACACACACACACATCGCATCTAACCCCAGGGTGGGCGGAAAATGGGAAAATGAGGGAGGGACGGTGGTTATCGGGCGCCAGTTTGGTCGCGTTGTTCCACTAAAAGTGCATTTGTGCATAGGAATTAATTACGCATAATGACAATTTGATAAAATTGAAAAATTACATTTTATTTAAATTGATTTATTGTAATTAAAAATTCTATAATGGCATCCAGGCTACGAGTGCACGGTCCATGCCAGAGAAATATGTACAATTGCGAACAATGCGAGTTTAATTTTATCATTGCCGAACATGGTCGGTTATTGGATGATTTTACCACTGATTAGTTGAACAAAAGTATTCAAATAATTAGCAGCAGCATTGTAAGCAAATTAGATATATGGCTTAAGTGGTGTACCGATATTTCCTTTCCCATTAAGTGGATACAAGTTTAAATGGGGATGTGTGAAGCGTGAGATTTGTACTATCCACTGCAAGGACATTAAGATTAACTCCTTGGAAATAATTTTTTAAAATGCATCCGTTATTCTATGCCTATGTTAAATGAAGGAACTAACTTTTTTCCAATTCAGTTTATAATTATTAAATTATTTTATTTGCCAACTGTATAAAAATGAAGACCCATTGAGGAAAATCTAATAAAAATAGAACATGTAGGACAGCTTCTCTCTGAACCATTGCATAACGCTGACTTTCTTTCGTATAATTTTAAATTCTTTAGCTTCTCCAATTTTCAGTTGATGTGAATTTGATATTGTTACATTCTGATCCCTATTCTCTTCGACAGTCACAATTGCACTTGAGGTATTTGGTCCTGAGCCTTGTTCCAGGGCTTCGATAAAGACACTTCCGGTCACAGGATTTTCAGGCTTTACCTTCACACTGATGTCGCCGCCATAACCTATTTTTTGGTTATTATAACTCAGAGCTATTTGACAGTCCAGTATGCTGAAGTACTTTAAATACATCAAGTTCGTCTCGGTAAAGCATTTGCCCGCAATGTGGCCAATATCGCAGAAGAATCTGTAAACTATAAAGGCCTTGTCATACTCATATCCGCTTACTGATATCCAAAATGTGTTTCTATCCCCTTGATCACTATTCTGCAGGATATTTCCTGTATCGGAATGACGAGTTTCTACTGTAATCTGGATCAATGTCTCCTGAGAAGTTGTTTCCTTGATTGTCATATGGTTCTTAACATTCTCTTCCACAAAGTTTTTGGATTTGTTTAGTGGTTGTTCCCTGTAGGCTATCTCTAAAGGTTCACACAAGTCCTTCGACAAGGATTCATCGTCAGAATCAAGGGTCAGCCACTGCTGGTTGGAGTTCTTCAAATATTCTACCGATTGGTTCATCTTGTCCTCGTTTCAAATATTTATTTAATTTTGCAGTGCGAGGTTAGTTGAAATTTGAATAGTTGATACTGACAGCGAAATGCCATATTTAATTTTGACAAATTTGGAAAAGATGTAATGACCAATAACGAAAATATTAAAAGATGTCAGTGTCAGCACACAGCATTATGTGTCTAAATTATATAAATCCGTTTTCAAAGCCCAATTGCGAAAGTATATTCTACGCTACGAAAAGTAAAATGAAAAAAACATCAAAATTATAGAAAATTCTCAAACGTATTAAGTTTGTGAATTACGAATGTTCGAGTCGGGCGTTTTAAGTGAATAATAACACTCAAATTTAAAATTGACTTGATAATTGAAATGAGTGTCCAAATATTAAGCCGAATTAATTTAAAAACAAATTTTTAGTTATGTCTCCACCAAACATTCGTGAAAAAATAGCAACGCCAATAAATATGTTACGAGAATTGAGATCAAGGCAGCCCTTAGATTTAATTACTGCATAAATTGTTGTGCTTCACTTTAAATAAGATCGTTTCTTTACCGTGTTTAGACTTTATTAAGGAGTTTTCAATCAAAAATTTCCTCTTAACGAAAAACAATACGCAGTAAACGATTCCAAAATGATTTCAAGTTATACAGGTATAAATTTAAGAATCAGTGTTTGTTTTTTCCATATCCCATTCAAATTTGAAATTCATTCTTTTCTTTATTATTACTCAAAATTTATAACACTTTTTTATATTCTTCTAAGCTTAATTAATAATATAACGAATAAATATTAATATTAATTAATTAAGAGTCAAAAAATAATCTTCACCTAAATCATTTAAGTGTCGGAAGATAGTTGTACATGCACATATGTACATTTTTTATATCCGTCCTAGAAAAAAGTCAGATAGACTCAGAAATCATACACTTTGAGTTTGCTAAGAAGTAAAGAAGCCTGAAAAGGCCTAAATTGCTCCCTGGGTCAGCATAAAGCAAGTGATCCTATGATTATATCCCAAGGTAAAAGAAAAAATATAAAAATTTATACTTAATTCAAAATACACCCATAATGTAAGCTAGATTCGTATCAATATCTCCTTATTCCCCCGGCCGCTTCTAAATTCAATTTCAAAATATTTTTGAACCTTGATAGATGAATCTAACGAATGTTTATTTATTTATAGACAAGATGTGAATCATTTCGGTTCCTGAGGAAATACCAAGTATGATTTAGGTCGCCCCATGACCCCACCACACCCTCGCCTCATCCAACCGAAATCATCCGACTAATCCGGACAGGAGAACCAGAACCGGGCAACATCAAACGTTCCGTGTACGCAGTTTTGCTTTATTTACGCATAATTTCGTACAATTTATGAGCTGGGTATTCGGCTTCCACACACATCAATTTGGACTCTTTCGCGGGACAGGGGGCGGGAAGGGATCGGGGTGAGTTCAAAGCGTTTGGCTTCGAACAGTCAATAAAATATTAAACAATTAGCTGATACAAATATAACTAATACTTGCAGGCGCCAATGCTGGTTGAAGTGGCTAAGAGCGACTAAGAGTGGCCAAGAGTGGCAGCAGTGGTTGCCACCCACTAGGAACCACAAAAACGCCGCCACGGAAGTGTCTTTCTTCTGGAACCATTCTGGGTGCCATTAGCGGGTCAGAGATTAAAGGCGGCTGCTTCCGTGGGCCAGGTCAGACGAACTTCAAACGGAGCAACCTATGTATGTAGCGTCTCTCATCATAATTCCAACAATCGAAACAACTTCAATTGTTTATTTGTTGTGTGCAGTGGCATCAGCATTCCTTTGAAGCAACCGACTCTATCGAGCTCAGGTGCGATCTGACGAATCAACCAAGTATATAGTCTATAGTCTATAGTCTATAGCCTATAGTCTGCAGTATGTTACATGCCTTTGGGTTTTCGAGGAGCGATTCCAAGCGTTAATCATCCGCGAATCGCTGGGGTTATGATTGAAACTGCCTCAGATCAAAGACGTATCTCCTTTCTTGACCCTATAAAATCCAATGAGCTATTCGCCAGTCTACTGTGATCTATCGGTTATACCGAAAAGAACATTTTTCTTTTTGCCTCCCATTTACACGTTTTTTATCAGGTCATTTCTTGGTGTGATGTTATCAAAGCGCTGAGAACTATAAATAATAAAAGATGTTCGTTTTAAATTCGGAAAAGTGAAATTAGTACGTATGTAGCAAAAGGAGCATAGCTATGGAAACTTTTTCTGGATCTGTATTGAATCAAAAGGGAACTTCCCGTGCCCTTTAAATCCATGGATGGGCAGCAGATATTAGGCCAAAGCCTGGAAACCAAATCCTATTCAATTCTATTTATCTTTGTAATATATAGTAAATCTGTTTAAATATATATACATCACGACAGTCTGTCCAACCAGAAGTTTATACTTTTCAGATAAAAAAATATTGCTATTCAAGTTAGAAATTATCTTTGAAGCACAGTTCTTGCTCAGTCGTGCAATAATTAAATATTACTTAATATTTTAAAATAAGAATAGAATTTATATATGTATAAGTAATAATATGGATATGGGATGGGATTTTTAGGTTTAAAAATTTAATAAGACATTACAAAAATTTTATATTATGTTGAATCCATTTTGACTAGTGCACTAAAGTAAGCTCAACGTTGGAAATTTAATTAATAAATTATTATATTCTTAAAACAGCGTCATGTTGCTCATTGCTCATTGTTTTCGAAAATTATTGAGGTCAGAAAATTTCAAAAGAAAACGTTCTTTCAGGACTCCGAAATTTGTATTCCCTTATAACTTGCACTCTAATTAACAAAAAGGATATAGTTCGGGCAGAAGAAAACAAAATATATATAAACACGGAGTGATTTTTTAACATTAAAGTGTTTTCATATAAATTAACCGATCTCTCCTATATACATATGTACATATATACATGGTTTAAATTCGATTTTGATAAAATGTAAACAATTATTTGGTTATTTAAAAAAAATGTCCGTACATATGTTAATTCGTAGAGAAACAACAAGATAACATCGATTTCATTATATAAAAGGTATAAGAACCTTTTAGATTTATTTAATATTTATATGATATAATCTCCGATCTTCATAAAATTAAAAATATTGTTTTAAAATTACATAAAAACTGTAATTCAGATTTAATACGAATATTTTAACAACTAATAAGGTAATTTAAATATTTCTTTCTAATTTCTTATTAATTTTACCCTCACAAGGTACTATACGTTTGGAACGCAGTGGAAAGTCATCTCCGACCATATAAAGTATACAGTAGTAATATTGTTTTAATTATTAATGGTCGAGTTGCAATCTTCAAGGGTATACAAGCTTCGGCTTGCCGAAATTAGCTCCCCTTCTTCTTTTTTTTTAACATTTGGTAACCAAACGTACATATTATGAGTTTGATGCAGTTTTGTTTAAATCGGACAACTACAGATGTATATTAAAAAAATCCGTAAGAAATCCCACGATGCATTGTGGGAAATAGTTATATCGAAGTCATAAAAAATTTATTTTAAAAGATGTTTGAAATCTGTAAAAAAAAATTAAACCATTTAAAATGTTTATAAATATTTACTGCGATATTTCAATGTTTTTAAAATGGTCTATATATCAAAACTTTCGAAATTTTTTCGATCTTATATGAATACCAAATATTTGTCGATATGTATTTTTAATTTTTATTTTTAAAACCTTAAAGTAAACTTTCCTAATTATAAGGCTGCAAATTAACTTCCAAAACACTTAACCATTATTAAACACAATTTATCTACCAATCTGATTATGTATCTTTATTTTGATTTTACCTTAATGTGTATCTAAAGGAATCGAAATAGGGACGAAATTATAAAAAATTTATATATAATAAGTAATTTAAAAATATTAAATAACTGAGTTTAATTATCACTGTTTGTATTCAGTTAAGTTTCCCATTATGAGATCAAACATAATAATGTATTATTTATTAATCTTAGATTATAATTCATATTAGAAAATGTTAAATATCGTTAAACTTAATTTTAATTTTCGACTTTCTTCAACATTTAAGGGAACGTAAAAATGTATGATATATTTATTTTTTTTATTGCTGAATTCCGGTTTCACTTAGAAACTTGAAAAAAAAATAAAACCTAAGTCAAATAAGAAATTAACTAATTGAAACGCTGATTGGAACCAAATCGTAAAAGACTTAAATACCCATATAAGAATAGTGTCCTAATTAGTTTGGGAACATTCCCGTTGTTGGTATTCCCAATTGGTAACATTTCACAGATCTTTGTTTTAGTTTTCTCGATAGGTTTTCCGCCTTTCCAAAACCAGTGTTTAGTTCCAACTTTTTGTTTTTCTTTAGGTTTTCTGTTCTTGGTGGGAGGGGGATTTGGAGGTCGTGAGGCGACGTCGCTGCCCGCAGAAGTGCCGGTAGAGCTTTGCACATGCAGCGCTGCCTTTGTGTGAGTGAATGTGTGTGTGAAAAGGAAATAAACTCGCTCTCTGGTTCTCCTCTCGCAATGTTTTGGCTCTTTTGGTTTTACTCTCTCTCTCATCGCAGCACTGTTTCAGTTCCAATCAGAGAGAGAGAGCTCTGCACATTGGGTTTCTCTCCATCCATTCCCCTCGCTTGCAGAGACAGCTGTGGCTACGTTCCATTTCAAGCGTTCCGCATTGCCCCGCCATTTCCCCTTAAACAGCGCCGTCGTTCTCCCTCTATGTCTGTCTCTTTTTGTTTCCTTTTAGTTTCTTTGCAATTTCCCCTTTTGCTGAGCAGCAGCGCATTGTGCTATCTCGCTTCTGCACCCAATCGAAGTGGGCTAGTTAGAGGTCTTGCTTTTTTTCCGTTCCAAATTCGCTTTAAGTTTTTGCGCTTGCCTTGTTTCTTTTTTTACCTTTATGCATGTGCATGTCCATGTGCATGTGCGTGTGCGAGTGTGAGTGTTAATTGTTGTTGCGCCAACGTAAAGTGCTCATGCAAAGGTGAGGGTGCATTGTCATATTCCATTTCGCTTTATTTTTCGCAATCTTCAACTTGACGTTTATTTTTCTGTCCGTCCTTCTCCTCCTCCTTCTGCCTTCGTATCGTTTGTATTGGCCTCTCATTCACTTCGATGGGGGGCGGGGGTCGTGGAACAATTATAATCGCTGTTTGTTGGGTGGATTGAGAAATTGCACTAAAATCGGATTAAGAAATCAATAGAAACGTTAAGTTATCTTTAACTTTTAACTTTAAAATGGAGATTTTTTTCGAAAAACAATGCAGATATTGTCGGGAGCAACAACATAATAAATGTTGTACAACATTTTATAACTACCCTTCAGTACCAATCCTTTAGGATTCAGGTCTGAATCAGGTTGGAATGTTCTAGACTACATCCTGAATCATTAGGGAGCTTTCATACAAGCCATCCAGGAATCTGCATACAGTAGGCGTTAGCAAACCTGAATTCGGACTACCTGAGGAATTTTTGGGGAATCATTAAGGAATCCTGCTAGGAATTTGTCATGAATTTCGACACGAATTCCCCCCTGAATCAGAAGGGAATTTCGGAAGGGATTCTGAACAGAATCATACAGGAATTTGGGACGGAATCAGGCAGTAATCATGGGGAATTCAGAGAAGAATCAGGTAGGACACTCAAAGGAGTACCAGGCGGAATCCCCAAAGAATCGTAGTGGAATTTAGAGTAGAATCAGATAGGAATCCCAGAGGAAAACGTGTAAAAGATCCCCGGAACCCCCCGCCCCATAGTAAATATCTGACGAAATTTATAATAAATTTTTTTATTTGTTTATTCATTTAAAAAACTATGTAATTTCTTCAATGATTACCACAATTTTTCTTAGCATAACTTCTTGCGTTTCCCCTAAAATTATGTTACGTGTCTTTCCTTCCGGCTGTTGCCTCGTCAATCTATAATTAAAATTCATATGTACATATATACTTATGGATATTAGAATCAAATGGACAATATTTTTCACAATTATACACACCAATTAAGAAGAAAACAATCTCCTTCCGTTCACACCGTCTAGGTTACTAAATTATCCATGTTCAAAATCAATTCTGGAAACGAATTTATTAACTGAATACAAATAAGTCACTTACCCTTTAAAAATATATAATATATTACATTGCAAAAAACTTGTGAATACTTCAGCTGTCATTAGAGCTGTGAAAAAATTGATTTCACTAACGAGGCTATCGATTCTTTTTATTTCGTTCAATAATATTTTTCATCATCTCAATTTAATTTCCGAACCACTGCTCCGAATCCCGTCAAAAACAACAATTAATTGTTTGGCAGTATCCGAACACAGGTAGAATTTTCATTGCCTACTTTGTTTCGGAGTTCTCTTACCGAAACCCATGAGATTTGTTTTTGTTTTTTTAACATGACACCAGGAATCGGACAGGAAAGGAATTTTGGTACTGAAGGGTACTTACATTCATATACATACAAGTAAGTATGTACATATATACGGACTTACAGTCTTGAATAAAATAATAAAAACTTACAAAGAAGCAAATAAAGCTCAAATATTAATTTTTCATAAAACGCATTCAGAGGTACTAACTATTATTTTATCTTCAAAATATTGTATTAGGGTCCCTGGTATTATTGTGATAATAATATTTAAAAATTATCTGCTAAAATCTATATTAAAATGCATTACAAGTAAGAGTATTAACTCACTAATAACTTTTAACAATTATTATAAGAAATATGTTTGTGTATTATTAAATTACATTGGGCCAAACCAACAACTCATATCCCATTATAATGATAATAAATCTTTTAAAATATGGATTTTATTTTCTTATTCTCTTAATTAATAGACTAAAAATGTCTTTTAGAGATTTCTAATTTATGAGTTATTCACATTCGTATATTTCCACCAATGATTAAAAAAAATAAACATATTATTTCTTATGGTGTTATCTTCAACGTCCATATTTAGGTTGGCAACTCAAATGGATGTTGCTGAACATGTTTCTAGAAACCTTTGTCGTTATTTGGATGTTGCGCAATATGTTACTTACAATCAAGCTCGGTTATATCTTTCCCATTTGTTATTTACGTTTACGAATAATAATATTTGTAATAATACTACAATGTTTGTCGAAGTACAACAATTTATTCTATTTATACAATTTATAACAACTTTAGATAAATTCTAGAGAGACAATTTCACGCAGTTTATGTTTGCAGTTTTTAAGATTTCGTAAAATGAATATACAATCGATCCTTATATTAGGTTATATTTATTTAAAAAAAAAAGTTGTATATTTGCTATAACCTTTAGCTTAAAATGATAAATGTATGTACATACATATGTATGTGCTTGGCAAACATAAATTCGTCAACTTCATTTAATGCATCTTTATTGCAATTATCCAGAATGATGATTTATATTCACCTTTTTGTAGTTCTTAGACAAATTGTAACTGTATTGGCTTGTCAACCGTGGGGAGGTTCAAGGTTCCTTGGCTAACATCAACAACCGAGTCGATCTAGACATCTGTGGCTTCTGCTTTCAGGGCGTGTTCATATAAGTAAAAAATATAGTAAATTAAAAAAATCCATCACTCTAGTTTTCCGTTAACTGTCCATTGGTTTACCAAAAACCAGGCATCATCAGTCATCTTGATTTTAACAAATTTCAGGCTTATTACCTCATTTTTTTAATCAAATTCTTGTAGGTTTCAGGTTTGTACAAGTATTCTTCAAAATGGAGGGCAGGCAGCTTACGAAGTGTGTCTACCATTCTGGAAAGTGCCTTTACCAACTGATGGCCTGTGCATGCCGGAACTCGGTCCCGAAGGTCATCTTCCTGAGCAAGGTAGGCAATGTGGAGATGTTCTTGCGTGGCAACTCTGGGTTGAACAACAGGATTCTGCAATTGGAGAAGGTTCATCCCATTTGCCAGAAATTATATTCACGGATGCCCCACGGCGATATATGTTTAAGCGGTCCCAGTACTGTCCTTAAGATCGAGCAGAAGATACTTCGTGTGACCCGGTTCATTGGAAAGCTTCTGTGCCCCGTTCCGCCTAGCACCCTGCTCAAAGTTCTGAATCCGTTCGGCCACTCCTGGAACATGCTGCAGGAAGAGGACTCAGAAGCCCAGGACGAGGAGATGGAGACCTGCGATGGGGGATTCACAGCCGATTGAGAGCTACACGCGTGGTTGTTCGGAGGACAACCCGAATGAGGTCCTGATAGGTGTTGCTCGAGATGCCATTTAAAAATTTCCTATGACAGTTGTATCTAAATTTGGTAAAATACATTTCATGCTAAAGAAACATCCAGCATGTTTCGATTGATGAGTGGCATCTTCGCCAATAGTCTGCACGGCAGAGAATTTTGCTTTGAACGACTTTCCGCGTGCAAATGTCGGTCACCGCGAAAGTCTCCGCCGAGGGACTGTGTGAAGAAACCATTCCCAGTCACAGAGTTGGGTGAGAGTTCGCCAGAGAAGAGTCGCCTATTGGAGCTAATGAAGCAAGGATGTCCGTGTCCCAAGGACACTGTCAAGGAGCGGTGGTTCTTCACCAATCAGCACATCATATTCGCCTTAGCCAAGGTTTTGAATCGTCCGGCCAACGCGGTCTCTGACTTTCTGTACCTGTTGACATTGCAGAACTTTAGCAAGATTATGAATCCCGCGGTTGCACCTGGAAATCATTGCAAGGTGCCGCTAGTGTATCCAAACGCTTGTGAGGATTACATGCGTCTGTTTGACACGAACGGAAACATCAGGAGTCGCTTCAGCAGCGACAGCCTGATGCTTCTGATACGTGTCATGCAGACCTGGCTAAAAGGGGGAGACCCCAAGAACGTCAAGCCACTTGGGTCCTGTTTCGAAGGTGCACCATGCCATTTCCGCAGTGGGATTAAAGCCAGGAAAGCGGGCATCGATCGGGATTCCATCGCTCATCGAAATGGCAGGAGGCGACGACAAGAGTCGGATGCGAGAGCCTGTCTGAACAGGGCTAATTTAATAGGTTACTCTTTGAATGGATGTCCTAGGAATGTGAACGGATCATGGAATGACTCATCTGCATCTCAAGGGAGTCCCTTGGCAAGTGGCGAGCCTGGCTATGTGTTTGGAAAGCACTTTTTGCCAAAGGATTTGAATGACTGGGATCAGAAGAATCCCATGAATCTTGAAGAACTCGATAGCTATGAGGATGAGCTGGCAGCAGAACGAGCCAGACGACTCAAGAACCTGCTCTTTCAGCTCAATGAAAGGACTTACCTTACTCGCAACCCATATTACCTCATCGAAGCAATCAAGAACATTCAAGTGGAGAAAACACGACGAAAATCAGTGAAGAAATCTGCTACTAAAAACAGCGCCAAGACCAAATCCGATGAATACTACCAAATGCTTAGGGATTCGGCCACAAAATCACGCCTGAAGGAAACCCTATTCCATGACATTGGGAAGGACTCCTCGCAAAATAGGCATAGGAAAAATAATACTCACAAGCGCAAGGGTCATGAGGCCGCAGATGAGGTGGTCGAGAACGGTCCCAGTAGCAAGTTATACTACGGTGCTCCAATCCCCGTGCTCGTCCACGAGCCCTTCAACCAGGACAAACCCTGGACCTGGCTGAATCGACATCCGCACCAGTCGCGGATGAACGACAAAGGTCGCATCGTAGAAGACAAAAACATTCGTCGCTATCGGCGTTCCACAATATCCAAACAGATGGAGAAGGCCCGGGAGAAAGCCTCAGTGCACTCCATCATCACCTTGGACCGGGGCAACAACGGCAGTGCGACCGATGTGCCAATGTTCGGCTATAGGTCGGACCAGAAACTGGCGACAAGGAAGTCCCAAGGAAGACAATCCCTAACCAGACAATCCCAAGCCAGACAATTCCTAGTCTCTGCAAAGAGTGGGAGGAATCGGCGATCAGTTTTCTCTTAGATCGATGATAGCTAGTAATCGTATCCCAATGTGTCAAGGTCATGCAGAAGATAATTAAATCGAAAATTTAAGTCATAGTCCGTCAAGTAGTTGTTATGTTTAATAAAAGTAAATGTAACTAAATTAAAGGGAAATCTTTGAAATGAAAAATATTGATACAATTTTAATTGCTTTGGTATTTCATTGGTGGAAATCAATATTTCCATCCCGTAGAAATATATTTACACTTTTGAAGGAGTTAGTTACGTTGTCGCTGTCAAAAGTAAAGAAGTGTTAAAAAAAATGTTTAATGTTTGGGTTTAATGTGAGCAAAAACTAAAAGTTAAAGCAAAATATTAGAAACATAAAATGACGCTACAAAATGTTTCATGCATTTCTGTCCTAGTATGTTAAATCCTGGACGAATGAAATTTTACTGAGTTATTTGACGAATCATCATTGATAAAAAGTTGATGAATTTGTTGCCTAAAACGTTGGTGAATCATGAATGAATTTTTGCTTTCTCACTGATAACAGCCTGAGGGCTAGCCAATGCACATGTTTTCATTAATTTTGTATGCAAATTCATCGATGATTCATTTGCATTAATGCTTATGAATTACTAATGAGTGGTAGTGCAGGGTGCTTTTGACAAACACTACTATATCTTAGCATTATGCACTTTTAAACTCAGTTACACTGGTAAGGCGGCTAAATTATACTCAGTTAAGATTAATTTCCAAACATTTTCCTCTTACATCCTTGTGTAAATAAGCATAGCAATCTCCACCAAACACAAAAGACTCACCCCAGGCATTGGCATTGGAATATCCGCCTAATGCCGCCGCAACTGTGCTTTTAAATCATTTTGATAATGACACCCGATGGCAGTGGTCCCTGGGCCCTATTCGAGGGCGCTTCAGGAGTATTATTTTTAGACCTCGCCACGTCGTCAAGTCGCGCCGTGTTTTGGTGTACTTTTGTGATTTGATTTTTATGGCGTGTAGTAATTTGTTGGCTCGTTAAGTTTCTTTAATAGGCCTCCTCCGCTCCCTATCTGGCGATGGGGGAAGGGATTGGGATTGGAATTGGAAGCGATGCAACCCGTTCAGTGCGTATCGAAATTATCTTGCATTCTACCGGACTCTCGGCCCAATAAAAGTCCACATTTTTTACGAGCAGCCGAAGGGAAATCCAGCCGAAATGTTTTTTATTGCACCAGAAACACTCAATAAAAGCGAATTATTAGTGTTGGATTGCTGTTTTCTGTTTTTGTACGCTGGCTCGCTCTCCGAATTCTATTCCATATTTTTATCCATCTTTTTCCGAGCTTTTGTTGTATTTTGTTATATGTATATTTTCTGGTCGAGGTGTAAATTCATTTTTATTACAAAAATTTAAAGCCAGCAGGGCTTTCTTTTCCCCTATTTGTGTATTTTATATGTGTGCGGCAAGCTCAACGTTTTTCTTCGATTTGCTTTTTTTAATTGGTGATCTGTTGTTTATGAATATAGATACATATTTATTATGGCTTTCATATTTCAAGAATAACGCCATTTGATTAATGGTTTGGTAATGGAACCAGAACTACGCTAGAAGTCGCATGAATTCTATAGTTGAATAAATGGAATAGTATTTGTAGTTATTTTAGAGTAAAAGGTAACCCTGTGATTGGGATTTCTTAACATTGCCACTTTAAAATGTAGCTTAAATAAAGCATACAAAATATTTAATTTAAAAAGTAACACGATCATCTAGCAAAGGGAAGTTAAGCCCTTAGATGAACTACTTATTGATGAGAAGATCTTGAGATCATGTAGAAATCTAAACTTGTGATTATTACAATTGTAATAAGTTTTAGCAATATATTTAAAGAAATTTTATCTGAAATTCCTTAATAACAAGCATAAAATGCTTAAGCAAGTACCTTAATAAAATGAAGTTCATCACTACAACTATAACTGCATTTGATCCATCAATATATAGGGGCCAAATCGATGCGCCTGTTCATAAATTTTCAGCATGTTTCAGCTCTTGAACCCATCGGATACCAGGTAAAACATGTCCATGGACCACATCAAGGAGCCATTCCTTACTTTGCTATCCTGAATGTGAATGAGTATGTCCCTTGTCAGACACTGACATCATAATAGTGTCATCGTCATCAGACCAATTTCACCCGGGGCATGGCATGGACTCACAATGCCAAAAAAGAAAGCCAACGCACCAGAGTCATAAATCAAAAGCGCCGCATGACGAGCTAAACAAACAAAAACAATTAGAAATAAGCGCAAAAACTAAACGGATCCAGAGGAAGTGCTCCATATGCGGCGAATAAATAAACAATGCAGGCCAGGACAAGCAGGACATGCAGGGACATCTAGCAGGACGAGCTGGACGAACAGGACAACGACAACGACAACGACAACATTTCATCAACGCAAACGAGCGAAACGTTTATCAACTGCTCAAATGGCCATTAAACGTGTGTGTGCACCGACATCAACGCCCCGAAAACAGCAGTGGGATGCCAGGACTATCTGCCAGGACATTCATCAAACGATAAATTGAGTGAATGACTTCATGATGGCGATGCAAAAGGGGCGCACTTCCTCACTTCCTCGCAACACGCACGGACAATTGGCCATGTTGCAGTATTTGGCCCCGTTGGCAGGCGGGTGTGTGTGTGTTTGCCACGCCCCCCTCGGCACCATGGCGAAAAGCAGATGGGAAAACCCGGGCAAAAACCATTTTGAGTGACTGTCTGACTTAAATTGCCATCGCATCCTGTTTGCCAGAGGACGACGGCTCGCCAATTGTTTCTCTGATTGGTATTCATCCACGGACAGTTGGTGCAACCAACAGGCCGGCCTCGTCCTCTTGTCCTTCCGTCCTCTCGTCCCTTCGTCCTGTGCCCTCGCCAGCTATTTTTGGGTGATTTTCGACTGCGCTCTTGTCTTCGTCCTTAGGCCACATCCATCACCCGGCGCCTGACGTGACGTTAGTGTTTTAATGGACTCCACTTGTCTGCCTTGATCACAGGACTCCAGAGTCCAGTCCAGCCCCACGTCCTTCTGCTGCATTGTTTGTCTACGTGTTGGCAGTCAAGTTTGTGTGTCGGAGTGAGACTTTTTTATTGCAGTCCAGCTTGGAGTCATTTGCATCTTTATTTGAGTCAGAAGCGTATTTATCTTTCGCCTTGACACTGGCCTGTCGAGCAAACAGAAAGAGAGATCTATAAAAGCGAGAAAGGAGAGCTATCATCGGAATAAAGACAAATCGATTGACGTCACAGGAATCGAGCGAAGAAGTATCCAAAAATCTGTAAGTATATCAGTTAATAGTAGCAATATTTACTCACTTATTGAAGGCCTTTGTAAGGACTTACAGAAGTCCTATTAACTCCTATGTCAAGATATAAAACATACAAATATGTTTAATAAATGCATTGTTATTTTTCCAAGATATATAAATAAGACATCCTTTTAAGAATTTATCTTCCTAAGGCTGTAAGTAAACTTTCTCTTAATGACTATTGACTATTGCAACTTCCAAAGACTGTTTAAAACTACAGTGTTATCCTGCTTAAATGGCACCCACTCGTAGATATATGCATTTTCCCAGACTTGCCAATGATCAATGCCAAAAACGGAAATATTGGCAACTTTCTTGCACATTTAAGGAGCTTAGAGTGCTCAGTGCTCCCAGAGATTGAATGCTATTCCATGAGACTGGCGGCTTATGAGAGACGACTTCCTGACACTAATCGGGGCGACGGGTTTTGAGACGATTTTAATCGCTGCTAATATAAACTAATTAGCATACTTAGCCGGCGATGAGTGCGATAGTGTGCGGTAGTGCGCCTCACAAGCTCCCATCGTCCAAAGAGGCGACACGGCCTGAAATTATCTAATGAATTTTCACTTAATCCAAATCAAAAGTGGCGATCAAGATGCGGCATCCGTTTGCATCTGTTGACATCGTCATGCCTTGTGCAGTGTGTTGTGTGTTGTGTGTTGTGTCGCTGGTTGTCATAATCCGATCAGTAGGCGAATCCGAGAGCCAAGGCCCCAGCAGATCCCAAGAGCAGGAGCCCCGAGATGCTGTGCCGGCACCAAAGATATGATCGGTGGGTCGTCAGCACGCAGTCCATCGCCCCTCCATGTCCACAGGCCTCCGCTCTGATCCGGCAAGTCTTCGCGATGATTTTCATTTCATTCTCGCTAATAATTCGCTTGGCAGATATTCAGGCATAATTAGAGATTAATTGTTCTATTCATAATTGGACTTGGCGCGGTATTTTTGGACATTGGACAGGAAGGCGAAAATTACATCAACGTGGGGTTCTCTGGCTGTCACACCGTGCTAAATGGCAGGGACTGGGGACAGATGTGAGCGTAGAGGGACCAGAATGACAGCAACAGTTGCCCGTGCGGAATCATATTTGAATATGATGGGCTGTATCAGGAATGGCAACATTTCTCTAACAAACGAAGGGTATGCGGAAAAATCTATCACTGTTCTAGTGGCTTTGAAAAGTCTACTGAAATAAACTTGAAAACTTGGAATATATATTGGTTCTTTTTAATGAAGTTATATTTTCAAAATAAAGATAGTAGTTTGCGAATTTTATAGTTTATCAAGATTCCAAAAGTTATCAGTTGATATTGGGTTACGACATCTTCGAACATTTTTAAAGTTGAAAGAGTTATGCTTTAATTAGAAATACATTGCGTGCTTTAAGTTTGTTCCTTTTACAATTTTTACTTAATATTATTACCTAAAGAGTACCCATTTTTGAATGCCTCACTGAACAAGGCATACCTGTCATCAATCGGTAGACTTTTAAGCATTATAGGCACCTGCCACCATCATTTAGAAAATATGTACAGGTAATTAACGAAAATGGGTGTGAATAGTTATTATAATATCAATTTTAATTATATTAATTTTGTTATCTTTTTTCCTTAGAGTATTAAAAATTTTTATTGAATTTAAATCGTCCTGCTTAGGAGCATCTT